CGGCGGTCCAGGCGCGCGCGCGCGGCGCCGCGGCCCGGGCCGGCGCCGCGGCGGCCGTCGCGCGGGGCCGCGCGCGCGTCGCCGCCGCCGCGGCGGCGGCGACGCCGTCGCGGACGCTGGGCCGGCGCACGCGCGCGGCGCTCGACGCGCTCCGCGACGGCCGGCGCCTCGCGGACGTCCGCGCGGCGTGCGCGGAGCTCGAGGCGTCGACGCGGCTCAGCGCCGCGTGCTGCGAGACCTTCGCGGCCCACGGCGCCGTCGCCGACCTCTGCGGCCTGCTGCGGAGTTGCAACCGGTCCGCGCCGCACGTCGAGCTCCTCGCCGTCGCGCTCCGCGTCCTCGCGAACGTCGCGGCGCGCGCGCACCTCGCGGCGCGCGTCGCGGCCGCGCCGGGCGCGCTCGACGTGCTCCTCGACCTCGTCGCCGCCTTCCGCGACAAGCGCGAGCCCTTCCTCCTCGCCGCGCGGCTCCTCCGGCGCCTCGTCGCCGCGGACGCCGCCGCGCGCGACAAGTGCCGGACGCCCGAGGCGACGAAGCGCCTCGCGAGCGTCGCCGCGCTCCTCAAGCTCCGCAAGCACGACGCCCAGGCCAACGAGCTCGCCCTCCTCCGCAAGGCCCTCCGCGGCGGCGGCCTCCTCCACTAGGCGCGCGGCCGCGATCGCGCGCGCGCGCGGCCTCGGCGGGCGATCTAGGCGACCGGCTCGTGCAGAAGTCTTTATACAGCCGGGGGCGCGCGGGGGGGCGGACGGGTCAGGCAGCGGAGCGGCGACCCGAGTCGACGTCCCGCCCTTGGGGCCGCGGTTTAGGAGTGCCGGTAGTTAAAGCGCCAGGCGAAGCGCGCGTCGCCCGGGCCCGTCGTGTCGGGCCGGTCGGGCGCGGCGACGCCGCCGCCGCCCGGCGCGTCGCCGTCGTCGGCCGCGGCGTCGGCGTCGGCGTCGCCGGCGTCGTCGCCGTCGCCGGCGTCGTCGACGGCGACCTTGGCGGAGCCCCGCCGCTTCTTCTTGGCCTTGTCCTCCTTCTTCGAGGCCGCCGACGCCGCGGCGGACGACGCGTCGTCGTCGGGCGGCTTCTTGGCCTTGGACTTGCCCGCGAGGCGCCGCTTGAGCATGCCGCCGAAGGACTTGTCGACCTTCTCCTTGGGCGTGAAGTTGAGCGGCGGCTTCGGCGCGTCGAGGAGCATCGTCGCCATCTCGTCGAGCGTGAGCGCGCGGCCCGCGGCGCCGAGCGGCAGGTCCTTGAGCTCGTCGCCGAAGCGGTCCTTCATGACGCAGGTCTCGCACTTCTGCCCCCCCGTGCAGATGATGCAGGGCAGCACGGCGTCGCCGCGGCCGTAGCGGTCGTACTCGAGCGCGAAGGTCTCGCGCTGCCGCAGGATGTCCGCGTTCCGCGCGTCAGCGAGCACGGCGCGGCGGTAGACGCGGTTGATGTCCATGGGGTCCGGCAGGGGCCGCACGATGGCCACCGTGCACTGCTTGCCGCAGACGACGCGGCTGCAGCGCCCCACGGAGCCGTTGATGCCGATGATGCCGAAGATCTCGACCTGCGCGAAGTGGAGGAAGTCGAAGTTCTCGAGCTGGAGCCGCACGTAGCGCGCCTGCGCGGGAAACGAGAGATTCGACGTCGCTTCGACGCGACGCCGCGCGCGCGTTCCAGCAAAAAAAAGCATCCGGGCGTCGGGAGCGCTCCGCGGGACGATCGTTCGTCCGAACGTCCGCCGAAACGAGCGGAAACCGGCCGAGCGAGGCGCCTTTGACGTCGGGACCGTCGCGCGCGCGTCCCGCGCCGTCGCGCGCGGAGATGTTCTCCGGCACGCGCCACGTCGTGCACCGGGCGTCCTTCGTGAGGTGCATGCGCGCCACGGACTGGCCCAGCGCGTTGACGAGGGACCCGCCGCCGACCTCGTCGGAGTAGGGCCGCTGCGACGCCATGATCCACGACCTGGGCAGCAAAAGAGAGATTCAACGTCGCTTCAACGTGAGTGTTCCGCGCAGGCGCGTTCCGGAAACAGCATCCACGCTTCGAGACCGTTCCGAGAGATGATCGCTCGTCCAAAAATCAGCCGAAACGAGTGGAAAACGGCCGAGATAGGAGCCTTTGAAGTTGGGAATTTCGCTCTCTTGTGCTGCCCTGTCCACGACGGCACGAGGCGGTTGCTGTACTTGTCGCGCGCCATGGTCTGGTCCGGCGGCTCGTCCGTGCGGTTCCAGATCTTGACCATGTGGAGCGTCGCGAAGTCGCCCAGGTCCACCTCCCACCAGGCCTGGGGGTCCTGCTGCGTCGACGTGCAGCACCGCGGGTCGCCGCCGTCCGTGTTGCCGTCGACGCCGACGTGCGCGTCGAGGCCGCCGTAGCAGGACGACTGGCGCGCGGGCCGCCCCAGGGCCAGGTTGCCCGGCCGCGAGTAGATGCAGCGCGCGAGCTGGGGCTCCTTGACGAAGCGCCGCTCGGGCGCCTCCGCGCAGCAGCCGTCGTGGTTCATGCCCCAGAGGTAGAGCTCGCCGTCGGACGTGACCACGGCGCTGTGGGAGAAGCCCGCGGAGACCTGGACGGCGACCAGACCGTCGAGCTCGCCCGAGATCTGGCTGAAGGCCGGGTAGAAGTGGCCCAGCACGGCCGCGCTGCCCGCGCAGTAGACCGCGCCGCCCTCGACGACGCGCATGCGGTCGTTGCCCTCGCCGACCCAGGCCTCCTCGACGATCGTGTTCGCCAGCGTGTGCGCGTTGCCGCAGGACACCTCGCCGATGCGCACGCCGTGCTCGCTGAGCGACCGCACGAGCGTCGGCGCCCACCGCGTGCCCAGATCGTCGCGGCCGAGGCCGAGGCGCCCGCCGTCGCCGCAGCCCCAGACGTAGAGCTCGCCCGCGAGCGTCGTCGCGCAGGAGTGGGCCGCGCCGCAGGACACGTTGCGCACCATGGGCTTGGGGCCGCGCGGCCCGCCGAGGCGCAGCGACGTCGGCAGCGACGCGTAGCACCTGGGCAGCACAAGGGTGATTCAACGTCGCTTCAACGTGAGTGTTCCGCGCGCGCGCGTTCCGGGAAAAGCGCCCACGCTTCGAGACCGTTCCGAGAGATGATCGCTCGTCCAAAAATCAGCCGAAACGAGTGGAAAACGGCCGAGATATGAGCCTTTGAAGTTGGGAATTTCGCTCTCTTGTGCTGCCCCGCGTAGCACTCGACGTCGCGCGCGGCCTCGCCCAAACCCAACTTGCCGCTCGCCGCCGAGCCCCAGACGTACAAATCCTTGGCCGTCGTGATGCAGGCGCTGTGGCTGTGGCCGCAGGACACCTTGAGCACGGGCACGGACGCGAGCGCCTGCACCAAGGTCGGCTTCGCGCAGTCCTGCCGCGGGTCGCCGCCCTCCGTGACGTCGAGGCCCAGCCGCCCCGCGGCGCCGACGCCCCAGGTGTAGAGCGCGCCGGACTGGTGGACGATCGCGAGGTGCTGCGCGCCGCCCTCGACGAGGGACACGGCCGCGTAGCCGCGCGGGATCGCGGACCCCGCGCCGCGCGCGGTGATGCCGCTCGCGCCGATGAGGACGCTGTTGCCCCGGGGCGTGTACTCCGGCGCCATGTTGCGCCGCGCCGCCTCGACGTCGGACCGCCAGTGCTCGTAGTCGTGCTCGCGCTTCGCGATGGCCTCGACCTGCGTGGAAATCAACCGCTGGTTTGGGGGGTCCTGACCAAACTTCAGAACTCTCTAGCTCGGTCACATCGACGTCGATTCGGCTGATTTTTGGACGCATCGATTGCTCTCGTCGAGTTCCCGAAGCACAGCCAAAAGGCTTGCGTCGAAGCGGTCGCATACGCTCACAATTGAAGTCGGATTGAAGATTTGATTTCCACACGGGCCTCGACCATGGACGTCTGCTTCCGCTGGCGGTCGCGCGCGTCCTCCTCGGCCTGGATCTCGCGCAGCGGCGCCCACATCTTCGTGATGTCGACAATCAGGCGCTTGCTCAGGGAGATGCGCCGCCGCTTCTTGAGCTCGCGGATCTCCTCCTCGAGCTCGTGGATGCGCCGGTGCGCGCGCTCGCCGAGCACGCGCTTCTCGAGCTTGACGTCCCGGTAGAGCAGGTCCACGAGCATGAGCTTCGTCATCTCGCCGGGCTCCTTGCCCCGCACCTCGAGCGACATCTTGATGAAGCCGTAGTCGACCTGGGGCAGCAGGTCGTCGCAGTAGTACTTCATGCGGTCCACGTCCGGCGGCGGCACCTTCCACTTGCCGTAGTAGGTCAGCACGACCTTGAGCGCCTCCGTGGGGTCGTCGGCGGCCATGTCCTTCAGGATCTCCGGCGGCGGCTCGCCCTTGCCGCGCGTGCCCAGCAACAGCTGCGACCGCGGCGTCGTGTCGCCGCGCCAGTTGTTCTGCCAGTGCGCGTCCGTCTCGATCTCGTACCACCAGTGGTCCGCGCCGCCCCAGCTCCACATCTCGCCCAGGTCCGACATGGCGACGATGACCGTGTCCGTGATCGCGACGTCGTAGACGCGGCGGCCCCAGAGCATCGACGTGTTCTCCGCGACGCAGAGCCCGACGAAGGGCGACGTCGCCATCTCCGCGCGCAGCGCGTCGGCGTCGACGGCGTCCTTCTGCTCGATGGAGCCCGTCTTGCCGCTGTCCGCCAAATCCGCGCGGCCCGCGGTCACGCGGCGCGTCCACAGCTTCTGCACGACGTCGCGGCCGACGTCGTCGGCGCCCTCGGCGGCGTCGGCGCCGAACTGGCCCATGGCGCCCCGGCCAAAAACATAAATCTGGCCCGCGGCGTCCAGCGCCTTGCAGAGCTCGACCTGGGCCCGGCGCCGCGCGTGCTTCAGGTACTCGTTCTTCTGCTCGAGGATCGCGCGCCAGCTCCGCCAGCGCTCGGCCTCGGCCATGGCCCGCCGCTCCGCCTCCTCCTCCTCGTCCAAACACTTCTCGAGCATGCGCTGGAGCTGGCGCCGCGTCGCGAACTTTGGGATGTCGACGCCGCGGTCGCCCAATTCCTTGCGCACGTCCGCGACGGCGAGCCAGATCTGGCGGAACTCGGCGTAGTCGATCTCGCCGCTGCCGTCCTTGTCGTATTTCAGGAACATCTGCTCCTGCTTCTGGTCCGACACGTCCAGCTTGAGGTACTCGAGCACGAAGAAGAACTCGTCTTCGTTGATCGTGCCCGTGCCGTCCTCGTCGAACATCTCAAAGGCGTCCTGGGGCATGAGGAGGGCGTTGGGGCTGAAGCCGATGGGGTTCCCCCCGTTGGGGTCGCAGGCGAAGAGCGCCACCTTGAACTCGTCGAAGTCGATCTCGCCGCTGTCGTCCGCGTCGCACATCTTGAAGTACTTGAGCGCCTTCGCGGACGACATGTTGATCTTGAGCTTGCCGAGCATGATCTTGAACTCCTCGAGGTTGATGCGCCCGCTGTTGTCCGTGTCGAACTTCTCGAAGACGGCCTCGGGCGTCATGTTGTTGTAGTTGACGTCGTCGTCGTCGCCGGGCGCCGCCGCGGCGCCGCCGCCGCCGGACGCGGACTCGTTGGGCGCCGTGCCCACGGTCGCGCCGTCGTCCTCCTCCTCCTCCTCGCCGGCGCCGCCGGCGAGGCGCACGTACACGTCGACGACGGCGTGGCGGCCCAGGAAACCGACGGGGCGCGACGGCGCGAGGGGCCGCCCGCCGACGGCGGCGCGCGCGCCCGCCGGCGCGCCGGCGGACCGGAGCAGGGCCGCGGCCGTCGTCGCCGGAGACGCGGCGACGCAGGCCAGGGGGCCGCGCCCGGGGAGGCGCACGAGCACCTCCATGGCTGCCGAGGCAGCCATCATCCGCGCCAACGCCCACAGGCAAGAACCGTGATGCAGTGCATCGTTGGTGCATCATCGCCTGCGGCGCTCCTCGCCGCGCTCGAGCCGCGAGCGTCGCACTCGCGCGCCGCCGACCGCCGCCCGTGAACTCGCGCCGCCGCCGGCGGACGCCGCCGGCGCCATGCCGCGCTACTTCTGCGACTACTGCGACGTCTACCTGACCCACGACAGCGCGCCCGGCCGCAAGCAGCACATCCGCGGCTGGAAGCACCGGGAGAACGTGAAGCAGTACTACGAGCAGTTCATGAAGCAGTTCTACGAGCAGAACGTGCCCGGCATGGTGCCGGGCATGGGCCGGCCCATGATGCTCGGCGGCGGCGTACCGGGGCGGCCGCCGCCGCTCGCGCTCATGGGCCTGCCGCCGCGGCCGGGCATGCCGCCGTTCCCCGGCGGCATGCCGCCCCTGCCCCCGGGCCTGCCGCCGCCGGGCATGCTCCCGCCGCGGCCGGGCTTCCCGCCGCCGCGCGGCTCCATCCCGCCGCCGCCCATGGGCTCCATCCCGCCGCCGCCGGGCTCCGTGCCGCGGCCGCCGCCGGGCATGCCGCCCATGTACGCCATGCCCCCGATGCCGCCGGGCATGCCGCCCATGCCGCCCATGCCGCCGGGCCCGCCGCCGGCGAGGTAGGCGCGCCGCCGGCCGCCGCGCCGCGGCCACCTAACGACGCGTCGCCCGGGCGGACGTCGCGCGACGCGTCGAGCGGCGGCCCCGAGCGCCGGGCCGCCCCGGCGATCGCGCGCGGCAGAGCGAGGGTCGGGTCGTTTAGGCGCGCGGCGGGCCGAGGGGCGGGAGCGGCGCGGCGACCGGGGCCGGCGCCGGCGGGGCCGCGGGCGGCGGCGCGACGCCCTGGAGCGCGGCCGGGAGGTCCGCGCGGAGGTAGACCATGTCCGCGCAGGACGGCGGGAACGTCTTGTGGTAGAGCGCCGTGGGCGTCCAGGGCGTGAACTTGAGGGACCGGCCGGGCCCGAGGGGCAGGCCCCGGTCCACGAGGCTCCGGTAGTTCGCGCCGCCCGCGCGCGCCTCGCAGGCGATGTAGCGCGCGGACGCGAGGAGCGTCGTCGCCAGGACGGGCAGCTGCGCGGCGAAGACGAGCAGCAGGCCGGGCAGGTCGACGTACGCGCCGAGCCGCGCGTCGACCTGCGCGGCGAAGGGGCGCGAACTTCCTCTCTCAGACGGTTTCCACGAGTTCGTTTCGGCTGACTTTCCGACGAGCGATCATCTCTCGGAGCGCTCTCGACGCGGGGATGCTATTTCCGGAACAGCCGCGTCGGAGCGACGTGGAATCACCCTCGCGCGGCCCCGGCGTCGACGGCCGCGTTGGAGAGGCGCACGGTGTCGCTGTGGACGACCGTGAACGTGCGGAGCGCGTAGACGACGGGCGCGGCGGCGTCGCCCGCGGCCAGCAGGCCGACCGCGACCTACGAGCGACGCGTCCCGACGCCGGAGGCCGCGCGCCGCCGCGTCCGCGCGACCGGCCGTCGCTCGAACGCGTTCGCGCCCCCCCGTCGACCGACGGATATGCGCGCGTCCGAGTCGAAGCGAAGGCGTCCCGCGCCGGCGCGCCTACGGCGTCGAGGCCGCCGACGTAGAAGGGGCTCGGCCGGTAGCAGTCGACGATCTGCGCGAGCGTGCCCGGGGCTCCGGACGCGCCCGTGTCCGTGACCTCGCTGAGGCGGCTCAGGTCGTAGGCCGCCAGGTGCTGCTGCGACCCGTGGAGGAACATGCGCACGCCGAGGACGAGCGGGAGCGGCTTCGCGGCCGGCGAACTCGCCGGCGGGGCCGGAGCGCCGTCCTCCGTCTTGGCGTCGGACGGCGCGGCCACGGGCGGCCGAGGCGCCCCGGCGCCGTCGCCCTCCTCCGTCGCGGCCGCCAGGGCAACCATGGGCGCCGTCGACGTGCCCTCGGGGCCCTCGATGATGATCTCTCCGGACGCTTGGGCCATGGCTTCGGGTCACCCACTGCTTTTCGCCACGACTCGGCACGAGTTTGGCGAGCACGACCTTAGCATGTTAAGCCTCCCCCACATCCGATCGGAGCGCCGGAAACGCGTCCGGCGCGGCGACGTCGAGGTCGAGGAGCCGGAGCGACGTCGCGTGGAGCATGAGGCGCGCCGCGGGCGAGCCCCCGTAGGTGCGGTCGCCCGCGATGGGGTGGCCGGCCAGCGCGAGGTGCGCGCGTATCTGGTGCCGCCGGCCCGTGAGCGTCTCCACGGCGAGCCGCGTGCAGGGCCGGCCGCCGAGCGCGCCCCGGGCCTCGACGCGCGCGACGGTGACGGAGCGGCGGCCGCGGGGCGCCCCGGCGTCCACGGCGAAGGAGGAACCGTCGTCGAGGACGGGCGCGTCGACGACGAGCGCGCCGTCGGGGAGGCGGTAGACGCCGAGCGACGCGCGCGCGCGCGCGGCGTCGTCCGCGGCGGCGGCGCGCGCGGCGTCCGCGGCGGCCTCGGCGTCGAAGGGCGCGCGGAGCCGCGGCCGCCGCTTCGCCTCCGACCACGGCGTCGCCTCGAGCGCCGCCTCCGCCGGGGAGCGCGCGCCGCCGCGCCGCCGGAGCGCCGCCTGCGCGCGCTCGTAGAAGGCGTAGGCGGGGAGCGCTGTTTCGCGCGGCGGCGCCGCGAGGTCCGGCGCGGGGCCGGGCGGCAGCGCATCGACGTCGACGTGGCCGTCGACGACCGCGGCGTAGGTCTTGGCCACGGCGCGCGACCGGAACGCGCGGTGCGCTTCGCGCGCGGCGTCGCCGTGCAGCGCGAGCGCGAGGCAGCCGGAGGTTGGCTTGTCGAGCTGGTGCACGGACCTGGCCCCCGGGTACGCCGCGGCGACGCCGTCCATGCAGAGGCCGGGCGGCTTGTCGACGACGACGTAGTCGCCGCAGCGGTGCAGCTCGACGAGGGGCCGCAGCGCCGCGGCCGCCGCGACCAGCGGCAGGAAGCGATTCATGCCTTCCGACGCTGCTCGCCGGCCGGCGTGCGCGAGCCTCCAAGAGGAGCAGCGCGGCGCTTACGGCAGCGCGGAAGCACGGCTAGCGAGGCGGCGCGGAAAGTTCAGCACGCAAGCCAGCGTGGAAGCGCAGCACGCACGCAGGTCAGCAAGGCAGCGTGGAAGCGCAGCACGCTGCAGGTCAGCAAGGCGCTGCGCGGAGCTTAGCACGCACGCAGTGCCTCCATGCATGCGTGGAGTGCCTCGAAGTCGATGTTTCACGGCATCGACTTGAAATCTGGGACGCACTCGCGAGGCTGCCCCGGCCGCCGCCGTCCACGTCCTCTCGAAGCGCCTTTCGGCGCGATGCGCGGTCCCGCGGCGGAGGAGGAGGAGGAGGACTTCGAGGAGGAGAACTCGACGTGCTGCCCCGGCTGCTGCGACGGCGAGATGTCCGTCGAGGGCACGGTGTCGGGCATGAGCCGCCTCGCCATCATCCTGTGCTTCCCGACGCCGCAGACGAGCTGCTGCTCGCTCATCTCGTGGATCGTCGGCTGCGCGAACTTCAGCGCGCAGTACAACTACAACTCGATCACGCTGGCGATCCTCATGCTCGAGCGCGCGGGCAAGGACGTGCCGACCTGGGCGACGAGCTCGCTGACGTCCGTCATCTTCCTCGGCTCCGTCTTCGGCCAGCTCTGCCTCGGCTTCCTGGGCGACGCCGTGGGCCGCGGCGTCGGCCTGGCGCTGACCCTCGTGCTCATCATCGGCGGCGCGTTCCTGAGCTCCGCGGCCTGGGACTACGAGACCGAACCGTCGACGTCGGTCTACGCGTCGATCATCCTCGCGCGCTTCGTCCTGGGCGTCGGCGTCGGCGGCGTCTACCCCCTGAGCGCGACGGCGGCCTTCGAGGACACGCGCGAGGGCGAGTCGGCCCACGAGCGCGCGCGCGGCGTCGTCCGCGCGGCCTGGGGCCTCTTCTGGCAGATGCCGGGCCAGGCCGCGGTCTACGTCGTCGCGCTCGTCCTCGTGGGCACGGACTCGCTGACGTGGACGATCCGCGCGCGGCTGCTGCTCCTGAGCGGCGCCGTGCCCGCGGCCTTCGCTTTGCCCGCGGCGCTCACGGCGGCGCTGGGCCGCGACGCGCCGCGGCTCGACGGGCCGCGCGCGCGCGCCAAGTCGGGCGTCGCGACGGCCCAGCCGCGGCGGGACCGGCCGCCGCCGGGCGACCGCAAGGCCGCGTCGAACGCCGCCGAGGAGCGCCGCGCGCTCTTCGCGCAGGCGTCGACGCAGCGCGCGCTCCTCGGCTGCTGCGGCTGCTGGATGTTCTTCGACGTCTACTCCTACGGCGTCTCCGTCTACTCGCCCGTGATCCTGGAGTGGATCTTCGGCGACAGCGAGGCGCTGAGTTTGGACTGCTGGGAGAACCTGCTGTGCTCCGTCGTCGGCTTCCCGGCCGTCGCGCTGACGATCTACGCGCTCCAGCACGCGTACGGCGGCGACGTCGCGCGCGTGCAGACGCTCGGCTTCACGGCCGCGGCGGGGTCCTTCGTCTTCCTCTCCGTGGCCTGGCTGCTGGGCGCGCCCAAGGTCGCGCTCTTCGTGCTCTACGTGCTGCTGCGGGCCGTCATCGTCTTCGGCGTCGCCGTGACGACGTTCGTCATGCCGGCCGTGCTCTTTCCCCGGCGCATCCGGTCGACGTGCAACGGCGCGGCGGCGGCGACGGGCAAGCTCGGCGCCCTCGTGGGCACCTACGCGGCCATGCCCATCGCCGACGTGTCCACGGTGGCCCTCTTCCTCGGCTTCGGCCTCGTGGCCCTCGCGGGCGGCGCGCTCACGTCCGCGCTGCTCCAGCCCGACTTCGACAAGCGCGACGGCGAGGCCGACCGGCCGCGCGACGAGGCGACGGGCCTCCTCCGCGGCGGCGCCGTCTAGGGGGTCGCCCGCTCCTGCTTTTTTAAAGGAAGAAGACGCACTGGAGCATGCGCATGACCCGGGGCTCCGCCATGACGTACTCGACGAGCTCGTCCTGGGTCACGCTGCCGCTGTGGTCCTTGTCCCACTCGTCGAAAGAAAAAAGCAGGTACTCCATGTCGTTGGTGAGCTGCTCCTCCATGCGGTCGAGGTGGCCCGTGACCTGCTCCACGGACACGGTCTCCTCGGCGAGGACGTCGACGTGGATCGCTCCCGGGTTGTGCTTCTCGTGGCCGCTCTGGATGAGCTGGAAGAGCATGCGCGCCTTCATGTCGAGCTGGAGCTCGGGCCGCGACTTGCGCAGCGCGATGAGCGCCTTCGCGAGCGCCGTCCACAGGGCGACGGAGCTCGCGACGCCGTCCGCGTCGCCGTCCTCGGCCTCGACGAGCTTGAAGAGCTCCCCGAAGGTCGCGAAGACGTCGCCGTCCTCCGCGTCGTCCTTGGGCGGCAGCCGCCAGTTCTCCTCGAGGTGGCCGTAGGCCGCGTCGACGGCGAGGTCGTCCATGCCCGTGAACCGGTCGAAGGACCCCAGGATCTCGTCGAAGAGGACCTTCACCGCCGCCTCGAGGCTCTCCTCGCTCACCTTGGGCTTCATGACCGTGCCGTCGGGCCGCAGCGCCGGCGCGACGGCGACGAAGGACGACGTCCGCGGCGTGTCCGCGCCGACCTGTGTGGAAATCAACCGGTGAGCTGGGACGTCGGGGCCGAACTTCAGAACTCTCTATCTCGGTCAAATCGACGTCGATGTGGCTGACCTTTGGACGAATCGGTTGCTCTCGTCGAGTGCTCGAAGCACGGCAGAAGAGGTCGCGTCGAAACGCTCGCATGACCGCACATTGAAGTCGGGTTGAAGATTCGATTCGCACGCGGGCGCCCGCGTCCTCGGCGTCGATCATCCGCGCGCGGAACTCCGCGATGGCCTTGACGCACGCGTTCGTCGTCGGGTGCACGGGCGCGAGGCCCTCGTAGCAGAAGTTGATGAAGACCTTCTCCTTCTTCAGGGACTGGCGGAACTCCGTGATGTTGATCTTGTCGTCGCCGTTGACGTCGAGCGACGCGGCGAGGCCCCGGCAGTACTTGGCCATGTCCGCGATGTCCTTGCGGTGGTCCTCGATGGCGTCGCTCACCTCCCAGAGCTCGACCTCGCCGTCGCGCGACTCGTCGAACATGTCGAAGATGAACTTGAGCTGCTTCGTCGGGTCGTCGTCCTTGTCCATGCGCTTGAGCGCTAAAATGAACTCGTCGAAGTCGATCCAGCCGTCGCCGTCGACGTCGAAGACGGCCAGCGCGCGCCGGAAGCTCTTGCCGTCCTCGAGGTCCGGGAAGCGCGCGAAGAGCACGTCGCTGAGCTGCTCGAGCGAGATCGCGTTCTTCCGCCCGCCCTTCTCCGTGGACTGCGCGCCGCCCTCGTTGCGGCCGATCATGTCCGCGAAATCCTCGCGCAGGCCCATGAGCTGCTTCAGGTCCATGCCCGTCTGGATGACGAGGTCGCCCAGCGTGTTCGTCGTCGCGACGGCGTTCAACTTGCGCTTCCGGTGCCGCTGCTGCTCGCGCACCTCCATGGCGACGGCCTTCTCGTTGCCGCCGTGCCTACGGACCGCGGCGGCGACGCGTCGTGTTTCCGGGCGACATCTCTCGGAATCGTCGGAGACGCGGCGCGGCGCTTCTTCCGCAGGGCCCGGAGGTTGTCGTCCTGGCGCTTCGCGGCCATCTGCGTCTTGCCGTTCTTTTTCAGGGCGCGCTCGAAGCGCATGGACGCGCGGCCGCCGTCGAATTTCCGCTCGGGGCCGCCGCGCTTCTTGTACTCGGCGATGGCCATCTGGGCCACGGTGCCGCGCACGTTGCCCGAGAACATCTTCGTGAGCATGCCCCGGCGGCCGAGGTCGGTCTGGCACCAGTCCTTGAGCTCCTGGAGCGTGACCTCGTCCTTCGCCGCGTCGCCGCCGGCCTCCGCCGCCGCCGCCGTCATCTGCTTCCAGGCGGCCTTGATGATCTCGAGGATCTCCGCCTCGCCGAGCTTCTGGGGCGACAGGCCCGCGATGGCCATGGCCGCGAAGAGCTCGCGCCAGAGCGTCGCGACCTCCTTCTTCGAGAGCACGGGCTCGCCCGCGGCGTCGCGCTGCCGCGCGGCGCAGCTCGCGAGCAACTTCAGGCGCGCCTCCTGCTTGGACTCGCCGGGCTCGCAGAGGAGCACGAGGAGCATGAGGGGCCGCCGGATGGCGATCGTGTTGTGGCCGTTGGTCGCGGCCTTCTCGTCGTGCTCGAGGAACCGGTTGAACTCGTTGACGGGCAGCGTCGCGAAACCGCCGCTGGGCAAAACAAAGTCGAAGCCGTTGAAGATGGCGAAGAAGTCCTTGCGGTCCACGCGCGTCGACACGACGGTCTTGCCCGCGAGCTTCTCCTCGATGACCTAAGTGTTGCATCCAGTGTTCGAAAACAAAGAACCGCGGGCGCCGGCGCCGCGACGTTCTTGACGGCGTCGAGCGTCCAGGCCTCGTACGCTGCGCGGGCGGTCGAATCTATGTCACAGACGCGAGTAAAAGACACGCGCACCTTCGTGCTCCTTGAAGGAGCTCCGCGTGGACACGGCGGCGCCCATTGCGATCGGTTTCGGGGCTGCCAACCACGACTCGTCGGGGGCCATCGTGCAGGGCGCGAGCACGGCACCGTTGCATCGTGCATCGCCTCGCGTGCGTCGTCGACAAGTGGCATAAAATCAGAGGTCGTCGTCGCGGTCCGCCGTCATGGGCGGCGAGTCCTTCGCGGCGTTCGCGCGGCAGGAGCTGACCCTCTTCGTCGCGCTGTGCCTCGTCTTCTTCGCGCTGTCGCTGCGCGACGAGTACGACGAGGGCTACGAGCTGCTGAGCCGCCTCTTCTTCCGCACGGCGTCGGCGCGGCCGCCGATCCTCGTCGTCGCCGTGCTCTTCGGCTGGGCGGGCGTCACGCACGCCCTGACGTCCCGCGGGCTCCGCGTGTCGCGGGCCGTCGGCGGCATCTGCGAGCCGCGCGTCGTGTCGCGCTACGCGCTGGGGTTATTGGACGTCATCCTCGCGTGCCGGCTCGTGCCCTTCGTCGCGGACGTCGTCTTCGCGACGGACAAGTTCGGCGTCTGGTGCCTGACCTTCGACATCGTCGCCTACGGCTGCTGCTTCGGCGCGCTCGTCGCGCCGCCGTCGTCGCTGTTCCTCTCGCCCCCCGAGGCGTTCTCGGAAGAGCGGTGCGCGGCGCACGCGCGCTACGACCACAGCGCCGTGCTCATGACGGCCCACAGCCGCGCGGGCTTATTCCGCGCCCTCGTGGATTCGCTCTGCGCGCCCTTCGCGCCCGTGACCTTCTGGCACGTCATCGTCGCCGACTACGCGACGTCCCTCGCGAAGGCGCTCGGCGACGTGCACGTGACGTCCTGCGTCGCCTACGCGGGGCTGGCGAACTGGGGCGCCGGCGCCGTGAGCAACCACGGCGTCTTCTGGGAGGAGACGCGCGGCGACTGCGTGACGTCGGAGCTGAACGCGTGGGCGCTGGCTCTGCCGTTCTGGTGCCGCCTCTTCCAGTGCCTCCACGTGCTCCGGAAGACGGGCGAGCAGAAGAACTTCTGGAACGCCTGCAAGTACGCGACGGCGTTCCCCCTGGTCTACGCGGGCTACCTCGACCGCTACGAGCCCAGCGACTACACGCGGCGGCTCGTCGTCGCGACGGCCGTCGCGCAGTCGTCCGCGACGTTCGCCTGGGACCTCTTCATGGACTGGGGCCTCTTCAAGAAGCGCAGGGGGGCGCTGCTCTGCGGCCTCTTCGAGCCCGGGGCCATGCGCGAGCCCAAGTCGCTCGTCTTCAAGGGCCTGAGCGACGGCGCGATCGTGTGCCTCTACGGCCTCCTCGTCTTCTTCAACTTTAGCCTGCGCTTCATCTGGACCCTCGCGGTCTTCGGCCACGCGCCGACGCGGGGCCTGGGCATGCTCAACTTCGAGCTCGCGGAGATCGCGCGCCGCACGGTCTGGGCCGTGTTCCGGATCGAGTGGGAGTACCACGAGAAGGGCTGGCCGCTCGACGGCGACGGCGACGACGACGGCGCGGCCCTCGAGCTCGTCAAGCACGCCGACGGCGACGACGGCGAGACGGTCTAGCACGGTAATCCTAGACCGCGGGCGCGGCGTCGGGGTGGCGCCGGAGCCGCGGCCGCGACGGCGCGTCGGCCGGCGTCGGCGCGACGCGGCGCTTCGGCGAGGGTGTCTCCCGCGGCGCCGCGCCCCAGGAGCCCGCGGCGTAGAAGCCCGCGGGCTCCGGCGGCGCCGCGGGGGCCTCCGCGTCGGCCCGCGGCGTCCGCGCCTTCGGACCCTTCGGCCGCGACGGCCGGCTCCGGAGCTCGTCGAGGAGCGACGCGCCCTCGGCGGCCCAGCGCGCCTCGTTCGAGTCGCCGCCGTCGAGACGTCCGTCGGCGGCGGCGACGCAGCGGTCGTCGGCGACGATCCAGTCGTCCATGGACCCTCCGCTCTCGTACCCCGCGTCGTCGTCGTCGGATTTCTCGCCGTCGGACGCGTCGACGCGGAACGAGTCCTCGAATTCCTTGAGCGACACGACGAAGGCGGCCTCCCGCGCCGTCGGCGGCGCGGGCGCGGGCGCCCGCCGCCGGGGCTTCTTCTTCGGCGGCGGGAGCCGTTTCGTTTGAACGGCGGCGGACCACGGCGCGGGCCTCACCGCGTCGGCGCCCGGCGCGCCGAGGCGCTGGAGCGAGTCGGCCGCCACGGGCCGGGGGCGGATGCGCCGCTTCGCGCCGCCCGCCGCCCGCGGCCGCGGCGACACGACGGCCGCGCCGGCCGGCGGCCGCGGCGCCGCGCGCGGCCGCGGCGCGCGCGCGGCGCCGCCGCCGCCGCGGCGGGGGCCCAGCGCCGGCGGCGGCGAGTCCGACACGGAGACGAGCGCCGCCGCGTCCTCCTCGAAGGCCCCCGCCTGCACCGACGCCCAGAGCGCGTCGAAACTGCTCTGGACGGCGCGGGGGTCCTTCGTGCACAGCGCCGCGAGCCCCGACGTCGCCATGGCGCCGCGCCGGAGCGACGCGGGCGGCGCGAAATGGGGTGCGAACGGCGGGCGGCGGAAACGGCGGGCGGCGGGCGCCGGAGGCGGGCGACGCGCGACGCGGGCGGTGTCGGCCCGGAGAGCCTCGACTCGATGCGGAGAGGGTTTTTGGACCGCGGCGGCACTTGGCGGCGTCGCCTTGCGGCGTCGCCATCACTGGCATCAGCCGTCCGCCGCACGAGGCGTCGCACGCGTGCAGTCCGTAGCCACTCCGTCCGTCGCGCCGCCACCGCCGCTCCCCCGGGCCGCCCGGATCCCCAGCGTTACTTCCACTCGCGCTTCCAGGACTCCATGTCGGCCTGGCCGTACTTGGGCTTCTTCTCGACCTTGGCCTCGCGCTTGAAGTTGACCGCGCCGCGCTGGCGCTTGACGTTCGTCGCGCGCTTCGCGTCGTCCTGGAACTGCTGCCAGAAGTCGATGCGGTCCGCGCGGCGGTCGTCGTCGTTCCACTGCTTCTCGAAGGCCTTCTCGTCCGCGTCCTTCTTCTTCGCGGCCTCCTCGTGCTCGCGGTCGCGGTTCGCCTGGACGCGGTGGTGGTCCTCGACGTCGCGGCGCTTCATCTCGTTCTGCGCGAAGGTCTTGAGCACCTCCTTGGCGAGCGCGCCGTCGAGGGGCGGCAGCTCGTCCTCGCCGTCGACGATCCCTTTTTCGACCTGGAGCGCGCGCTCGTCGCGGCAGCGCCGCCGCGCGCCCTCGACGATGAGCACGGTCTTGGCCCGCTTCTTCTCGTCGCTCAGCTCCAGGTAGGCGTCCTTGACGTACTCGAAGGCGCGCCGCGCGTCGTCCGCGCCGCCGTTTTTATCCGGGTGCGTGAGCGCGCTCAGCTTGCGGTAGCGCGCCTTGATGTCGTCGGGCGTCGCGTCGACGTCGAGGTCGAGCACGTGGAACGGGTTCAGGTTCTTGAAGGCGTGGTGCGACGGCGTCAGGCGCGCGATCTGGTCCGCGCCCTTGCCGAGTTTTTGCGTCGCGTACTTTTCCGTCGTCGGGTTCGTCTCGGCCTTCTTCGCCCGCTTGCGCGCCACGGCGTCGTCGTCGAGCGCGGAGAAGAAGTCGCCGAGCTCCTCGCGCGCCGCGGCCTCCTCCTCTTCCTTCCGCTTCCGCTCGGCCTCGGCCTTTTGCCGCGCGGCCTCCTCGGCCTCCCGGCGCTTCTCCTCGACGATGCGCTGCTTCGTCGCTTCCTCCTCGCCCGCCCGCGCGGCCGCGAGGCCCTTGACGAACGCGGGCGTCTCGGGCGCGAGCTCGAGGGCCTTGCGGTACGACGTCTGCGCGGCGACGAAGCGACCGAGCGCGTGCTCCGCGGCGCCGCGCCGGCTGTAGCTCTTGGGCCAGTCGGGCTTGAGGGCCACGCACTGCTCCGCGTCCTTGAAGGCCTTGCTGATGGCGCCGCCGAGGGCCAGGTAGGCGCCGGAGCGATTCGAGTAGAGCACGTGGTTCGCGGGGTCCAAAGCGATGGCCTCGCTGTAGGCGCCGACGGCGCCGGCGTAGTCGCCGGCCTTGAAGAGGCCGTTGCCCTTCTCCCGGTACTGGTCCGCGTGCGCCTGCGCGTAGTCCTCGCTCGACTCGGCCATTGCTCTCGCGCGGACGACGGCGCCGACGGGCTGCGGCCAGCCTCGATCGAGAGAGCAACTCGCCTGCTCCATCGGCGCGACGGCGCACGTTGAAGCACCCGCGGCCTCCGCCCACAACGCCACGCCCCAGATAGTACGATCGGTAGCAGCCACACGGACGGCAGGGACAACCACAACACCACGGCGAACCTCGCTTAGGCGGCGCGCGCCGCGCCGCGCCGGGCCCCAGGACGGGACCGCGCGCGCGCGCCGGCCGCGGCCGCCCTTTTCCGCGGCTCACGTGCCGGGGATGGAGTAGGTGCATTGCTCGTAGGTCGCGCAGCACTCGTCGCGGCAGAAGTTCAGGCACTCGCCGCGCGACTTCTCGCGCTGTCCCGGCGTCGGCTGCGCGCATCGGTTGCTGCAGCCCGCGAGGCACTGCAGGTAGCCGCCGTCGCGCTTCGTGCCGGCCGTGTCGGACTTGTCCTTGACGCCGTCCGGGTTCTTGCCGCTTACGTAGCGCTTCGCCGACGCCGCGAGCGGCGATGCCAAAGCCGCCGGAACGGCGGCGGCGCGCAGCACGCCGCGGCGGCTCAGGGACACGGCGGCGGCGCCGGCGAGCGCGGCGAGGACGAGGAAGAGGCGCTGCGCGTGGCGCATGGCTCGAGTGGGCTGCGAGCGCGCGCTGCGCGGTGCTGCAAGTTGGTGACTGCGTCGGTGCGATCGAGCTGCCACAAACTCTCTCCGCGCCCGCCCTGCACCGTCGCCATGGCGAGCCAAACCCAGTCGAGCGAGCTCGAGGCCCTGCGGGCGCGGTGCGCGGCCCTCGAGGAGCGCTGCGCCGCCTACGAGAGCAACGAGGTCGTCGACCCCTACGTCGCCGCCAACGCAAAACTCGAGCGCCAGTGCGGCGACCTGCGGGACCGCTGCGGCCAGCTCGAGCGCGAGAACGCGACGCTGTCGCTGTCGCTGGCCTACTTCCACACGCAGCTCAACGACGACGCCGAGACCATCGCGTCGGAGCCGACGCCGCAGAAGGCGCCGCCGTCGCCCGGCGTGATCGAGTGGGGCGACGAGGAGTTCGCGTCGCCGAACCGGCGGCCCCTCGGCGAGCGCCTCGACGAGCTCGAGGACGCCGTGCGCTACTCCGACGACGCCCTGGCGCGCGACGAGCGATGATGGGGTCGGAGCGCCGCGCGCGCGTCTCGTAACCCGTCGGAGCGACGCGCGAGGACTCGTAGCCCCGGGGCGTGCCCCGCACCGACGCCACGTCGCCGCCGTTCAGGGCGCCGCGGGTTCCCACAACCCGCGAGAAACATCGCGCCGACTGGCCCTCGCGGTTAAGCGACGAAGCGGCGCGGGCCGCGCGGCCGGGGCCCGCGGGTGTAACCCCGGGCCCGCGTGGGTCTTTCGGGGGAGGCGGGAGGCGGCGGGGACAGAAGCGCCGCCCGGGAGGAGCGGGGCGGCGGGGTCGAAGCGAGCGGAGCGGCACTCGGGGCCCGGCGGGCGCGCCGGACGTCCGCGACATCTAATTGAAGCCCCTGGCCATCTTGTTCGTGAGCATGATGCCCTTGACCGTGCCGCGGAATTTCCGCCGCGCGTTGAACTTCTTCATCGTGTCGAGCGTCGTCGAGAGGTTGCGGCTGATGAGCTCGTGGTCGCCGACGAGGAACCAGGGGTGGCGGAACGCCTGGTCCGCCGTGAGCCGCTTGTCCGGGTCCACGACGAGCATCTTCTTGATGAGGTCCTTGGCGTCGTCCGAGACCTGGTCCCAGTACTGGGGCTCGAAGGTGTAGTCCGCGGCCTTGATCTTGCGGTAGAGGATCGCGTGGTTGTCGTCGTGGAACGGCGGGTACCCCCCCAACAAGATGTAGACGATGACGCCGCAGGACCACATGTCGACCTCCGTGCCGTACTTGGCCCCCTTGAGGATCTCCGGCGCGACGTAGCCCGGCGTGCCGCACTGCGTGTCGAGCGACTTGCCGTTGACCTTCTTCGCGAACCCGAAGTCCGCGAGCTTGATGTCGAAGTCGTTGTAGGGCGACTTCAGGAGTAAATTCTCGGGCTTGAGGTCGCGGTGGACGATGTGGCGGTGGTGCAGGTAGGCCAGCGCGTCCAGCAGGATGCGGATGAGGTCGCGCGCCTCCTTCTCGTTGTAGAACGTCTTCTTGACGATGCGCTCGAAGAGCTCGCCGCCCTCCATGAGCTCGATGACCATGTAGAACATCTTCTTCTCCTCGTAGAAGTTGTAGAGCTTGATGATGTTCGGGTGCTCGATGGACTGGAGCACCGCGACCTCCTCCCGGAGGCTCGCGATGTCCTCGGCCTTGAGGTCGGGCGTCTTCGTGATGCACTTGACGGCCACGGCCTGGCCGGCCTCGTTGTTCGCCATGCGCTTCGTCGCCTTGACCACGCGCGAGAACGCGCCCGTGCCGAGCTGCGGCGGGAGGGGGGGGTGGCGGATCCGGCGACGCGCGGGCGGACCGGCGCGTGCGCGCGCGCGCGCGGCCGCGGGTGGACGTCGACGCCGCGGCGCGCCTCGCAGCCGGCGTCGAGCTTGTAGGCCCGGCCGAACTCGCTGTCGAGGTCCGGGGCGCCCGCGGCATCCCGGTTCGTCTTGGACGACTGCGGCGGGGACGGACGTTCCGAGCGTTGCGCGGCGCGCGCGTCCCGGCGCGCGCCGAAACGCCCCGTCGCGCGCGCGCCCCGAAACGCGCGCGATGCGTCGACGGGGGTCGGAGCGCTCCGGGGGACGCCGCGTGCGCACGCCGCACCCCATCGCGAGAGGCGATTGTTGGGCGCAAGCTATCGGCCAAAGCTTTTGTGGCTGCTCCGAGCCGGGGCGATCTTTTGCGTTGCACGCTTCTTGAACACACCCTCGAACCTCTTCGTTAGGACGGCGTCGCGCGGACGTCGCAGAGGGGGCACTGGGCGGCGAGGTCGCCGAGGTGGGGGAACTTGTCCGGCGCGTCGCGGAGCCGCAGGCCGCAGGCCGGGCAGGTCCGCGCGTCCTCGGCCAGCGGGATCGCGGACAGCGTCCGCGCGCACACGTCCACGGGCCCCGCGCCGCACGCCGAAGCCGCGGCGCCGCGGAGCACGTCCCGCCGCGACAGGGGCAGCGGCGCCTCGCAGAGCGGGCAGGGCGACCCGGCGACGTCGCCGGCCTGGCGGAGGAACGCCGCGAGGCGGTCTTCCAGCGCGGCCTCGTCGGCCGTGAGCGGCTCGCCCCGGGGGTCGCTCCGGGCGCTCCGCAGCGCCGCGAGCGTCGCCTCCGCCGCCGCCGCGACGCGCGGCGCCCGCAGCGCGTCCGGCGGCGCCCGGGGCTCGGAGCCCCAGCCGCAGGCCAGCGCGTGCTCGCCTGCGTGCGAAACAACCAGTGGAACGCCCCGTCTATCAAAGACTTCAAACCTCTCTATCTCGGTCAAATCAAAGTCGTTTCGGCTGATTTTTGGACGAATCGTTTTCTCTCGGCGAGTTCTTTTCAGACAATGAAGAACGTATGTCGAAACCGTGCGAAGACATGCATATTGAAGTCGTGTTGCATATTTTTGTTTCCTGCCCAGGTGCTCGCAGCCGGGCGGAAGCCGCCGCGCGCCGCGCCACGCGCCGGACCGGAACAATCCCCGCGCGTTCGCCGCGGCGCGCGCGGGCGCGTCGTCGCCGCCGTCGCCGTGGGCCGCCGCGAGCGCGGCCGTGATGGCGAACTGGCGCACCCAGAGGAAGTCCGCGGGGGACGCGCCCCGGAGGTCCGCGTTTCCCAGCGCGGCGTCGCGCGCGCCGAGCGCCCGCACGCGCAGCCGCGCGAAGCCCTCGGCGCGCTTCGCGAAGTCGGGCTCCTCCGCCGCGATCTCCGCCGCGCAGAGGCCGTTCGCCGACGGCGCGAGGCCGAAGACGACGTCGCCGCCGTCGAAGAGCGGGCCCTTCGGCGATCCGTCGACGCCGAAGACGCGCGCGCCGCCCGCCGCGCCGCCGCACGCGACGCGCTCGTCGTCGAGCACGGCGAGGCAGCTCGCGTCGTCGACGGGGAGAATCACGCAGCCACGATCGGTCCACAGCTCGGCCCGCGCGCCCGCGAGCACGCCCAGGACGCCCGACCCGACCGCGAAAGACACCACGGGCCGCTCGTCGGGGTGCCGAAGCGCGACGTCCGCGGCCAAACTCAGACCGCCGCCCTCGGCGCGGTAGCCGACCTTGGCGACGCCGCCGCGGACGTCGCCGACGAAGAGGTGCGTCTCCGACCAGGCGAGCGCGGACGCGGGCCCGTCGCGCAATTTCGCCTCGTCGGCGAACCTGGGCAGCAAAAGGGTGCGAAATTCCCAACTTCAAAGGCTCCTATCTCGGTCGTTTTCCGCTCGTTTCGGCTGATTTTTGGACGAGCGATCATCTCTCGGAGCGCTCTCGAAGCGTGGGTGCTGTTTCCGGAACGCGCGCGCGCGGAACACTCACGTTGATGCGACGTTGAATCACCCTTTTGCTGCCCTGTCGGCGAACTCCGCGCTGGGCCCCCGGCCCGCGCGCGCGCGCCGGTAGCGCCGCAGCACCACGCTCGCGCCCCGGGCCAGGGCCGCGACGCCAAACCGGGCGCCGTCGACGTCGCTCGTCGTCGGGCACCAGGCGAAGGCCGCCGCGTCGCCCGCCGGCGCGCCGAAACCGTTTTCGCGCAACGCCAGCCGGTCCGCGCCCGGTCGCGCCGCCGCGACGTCGTCGACCGTCGCCCAGGCGTAGTCGGCCCAGCACCGCGGCGGCTCGAAGACGGCGCAGGCGCCCGTCGCGGACACCGTGGCCAGCAGCGCGCCGCCGTCCCACGCGAGGCCGACGGGCGACCACGACGCGCTCCGGCACGGCGCGCCCGCGCCCGCGGTCTGGCGCCGCAGCTCCAGGGGCGCCGGGCACCCGCTCTGCTTCTGGCCCTCGTCGACCGTCCCCGTGCGCGCCTCGCGCGTCGCCGTCGGCGTCAGCACCTACGGGTGGTTCACTGTTGTGTGGTGTGCAGTTCCCGTTTCTTCGTGCGCCGGCCGCGCGCGCGCGCGCCGTCGCTCAGCGCCACGACGAGGCGGCCCGTGCCGTCCCAGGCGCACGCATTCTTCACGCGCGTCGTCGACCGCTGCGGGAACGGCGTCTCGTACAAGACGTCGACCGAGGCCATGATTAGCTCATACTCGCGGTGCTTGAGGTCTGCAGCGATCCGGCACGACCGGCTCGACGGCTCGCGGCGCGCGAAGCGCCTGGGTTTCCGGTACAGCCGGGGCCTCTTCTCGGCCGCGCGCCGCGCTCGAGGAACGGGCGCCGCGCTCCACGAGGTGGTCGTCGCGGCGCGCGCGGCCGCCGCGGACTCGGGCTCCTCGAAGCCCACCCGCGGCGACTCGTCCGCGACGCCAACTCGACCGACCGGCCCAGACCAACAAGGGGACTAGGGCGGCTGTGTTTATAGGGGAGGGGGCGCGCTTACGCCTTGGCGGCGTTGGAGTTGGGGCCGAAGCGCTTGCCGCCGACGCCGGCGACGACGTTCACGAAGCGCCGGTTGTAGAGCATGCGCTTCTTGGCGCGGCCCGTGGGGAGCTTCTTCTTCTCCTGCTTCTCGACCTTGGGCGTCTGGCCCTTGACCTTGCCCGCGCGCGCGAGCGAGCCGTGGACCTTGCCGCCGCCGCGGAGCCGGAGCACGAGGTGGAGCGTCGACTCCTTCTGGATGTTGTAGTCGCTGAGCGTGCGGCCGTCCTCGAGCTGCTTGCCGGCGAAGATCAATCGCTGCTGGTCCGGGGGGATGCCCTCCTTGTCCTGGATCTTCTGCTTCACGTTGTCGATCGTGTCGCTGGGCTCGACGTCGAGCGTGATCGTCTTCCCGGTGAGCGTCTTGACGAAGATCTGCATGGTGATCTGCGACGGGGGAACACAACCGTGAGCGCTCCTGTGCGTGAACGCGCGCGCGCCCCCGGGCGTTGACGCGCCCCCGTCGGCGGCGGCGGCGACGCGCTCTCCGGAGCGCTGCGGCGCGTCGGCGAGCGCCACGAAATCGCGACCGCCGCGCAGCACGCAGCGCCGCCCCGCTCTCAGCGCCGCTCCCGCGTCGTTCCGCCGCGTCGTCGGCCCCCACACCCCGTCAATAGGCGGACGCTGCGTCGCACATACTGTCGCTCTTGGTCCTCGCCGACGGGCTTACAGGCGAATCCTAGTTAGCCGGAGGCTGATACGGCCGCGCCTCATCCGCCTGTAACGCGAGGGCAGCCTCTCCGCCGCCTCTCGACGACCGCCGCTCGTTGCGTCGCTGCATGATGAACATCTACAAGGAGAAGACGCTGAACGGGAACTGGTTCGAGGAGCGCGCGCCGGCGCTCAACGGCGTCATGGCCGACTACGGCGAGCGGTGCTACAGCACGACCCAAAAGGAGGCCTTCCCGAAGACGAGCGCGGAGAACAGCTACCTCACGCGCGCCGCCGTGCTCCACGCGCGGTCCAAGGGCGAGTCCCAGGAGCAGATGTTCGCCCTCACGCAGAAGGAGACCTGCGGCGCCGCGCAGATGCTCGCGGTGCCCGAGGGCAACGGCTTCCTCACGCGGCGCCCCGCGCCGTCGCTCTCCGAGGACCCGGAGCGCTTCAGTACGACCTACGGCTGCGCCTTCGGCACGGACCCCGTCGCGCCCTACAACCCGAGCCACGGCGCCATCGGCCGCTCCGGCGCGCGGCCGGAACGCGGCATCGCCACGAGCGGCATGATCGGCGAGGTCTTCAAGTCCGGCGCGGACCCGCAGCACAACACGGCCTGCCAGCGCGTCTGGCTGCCGAGCTCGAGCCTCGTCCTCGACCCGGCGAAGCGCGCGCCCGTGCCCGTCGACGACGTCAAGCCCACGACGGCGAACTGCATGCAGTACATGTGAAGCGAGCCCGGGAGCACAGAGTAAGCGGGCGCTCCTAGAGGCGACGCTGCGTTGGGACGCCGCTTTTGCGAGGCCGGGGCCGCGCCAAGAACGGGACTCACGGCCGCGCGGCCGCCGCCTCCTCCGGCGGCCAGATGTCCCGGCCGACGGCCGAGAAGGCGAGGTCGCAGGGCCCGCCGCCGCCGCCGCAGTAGGCGCGCGCGCGCTGTACGGCGTCCTCGAAGCGGCGCCGCGCGGCGACGTAGACGTCCGGGACGCACGTGTCCGCGAGCGCGTCCGCGAGCGCGCGCTCGGAGCCGAGCGTCACGCGCGTCTCGTAGGCCGCGCCCCCGCGCGCGTTCTCGCGCGGGGGCGCCGGTGGCGGCGCGAGGCCCAGGAGCGTCGCCAGGAGCCAGAGCGACGCGCCGAAGCGCTCCGTGACCAGCAGCAGCCGGCTCGGCCGCGTCCACCAGTCGACGAGCGCGCCGCAGCCCGCCGCCGCCGCCGGCAGGCCCGCGGCCCAGGCGTAGACCATGTTGGCGTTCGTCGCGTTCGGCGCGTCGCAGCGCGCGTCCGCGGCGCCGCGGTCCAGCGCGGGGCACACCGCGAGCTGCGCTTCGGAGGAAGGCGGTCCAAGTTCCGCCGGTCCAGTGGCCGCTGGCCGCGAGGTCCAGGCGCAGCGAGTAGAGCCAGGCGTGGGGGTTGCGCACCATCGTCGCGTAGCGCACGCGCGCGCCCCGGAGCGTACCGAAGCCGACGTGGTGCCCCACGACGAACGTCGCCGGCCGAGCGGCGTCGAACCGCGGGAGGCCGGTCCTCGCGCCGGCTTCGTAGGCCGTCTGCAACGGTACCCCCAACGCCGTCGCGGCGGACATCGCGAAGCTCCGGAGGCTCGTGCCGCCGGTCTTGGGGAAGTGCATGATGCAGACGTGCTCGCCGGCGCCGAGCGCGCTCCGGTTGCGGAAGAGGACGGCGTCCTGGGGACGAGCGTGGTGCGACGCGTGCGCGGTGCGCGCGCAGGCGACGCGCAGCGCGACGAGCGCGAGTGCGACGCGCATGCTCGCATCACCGTCGGCGGCGCATCTCACACACTGGGGCAGCAGCCCATTGCGTTCTCCACTTCGGCGCGCTCGCGCCGCGCGGCCCGACGTCTCCGAAGCTCGCCACACGGGCGCCACCCCTCGCTAAAATTCATGCGCAAGGTTATTGCGTACGGGTACAAAGGGGGAAACGGAGGGGCATAGTGGGGCACGCCGGAGTGGCGCGTTCGAACGCGGGGGCCCCGCGCGGGCGTCCCGCGACGCCCCGCGCGGGACGACGCGGCGCCTAGCCGACGAGGCCGTCGCGGATCTCGTTGATGTTGATCCGCGTGTCGCCGTTGGACGTCGGCGAGCAGTAGTCGATGAGGCTCTGCTTGCGGATCTCGTCGTCCTTCGAGAAGGCGCCCTGGATCTCCATGGACCAGGGCGTGATGCCGGAGGACCACATGGAGCCCGCGTTGCAGCCGACGCAGGACGGGTGCATCGTGTACTGGAAGCCGTTCTTGCGCATGGCCTCGGGCGCGCCGTCGAGGAGCGTGTTCACGTGCAACCCGGGATGCATGTCGATCCACGAGTCCCAGCCGGAATTCGGCGAGTCCATGTACTTGTGGTGCGTCCCGTTGACCTCGTGCTCCAGATTCGTCAGCGTGTAGTTGCCCGGGCCGGGCCGAGCGCCGAGGTTCGCGACGGCCTTCATGTACACGGGATTGACGACGAGCGAGCCGTTGAGCTTCATCGTCGACGCGAGCTCCACCTCCCAGGTCTTGCACGTCGCGCTCTCGAACTGCTCGCCCACGGGGAAGATGCCCAGCGTGCCGAGCACGGACTCGAAGAAGTGCGCGAAGCGCGCGGGCACCGTCGTCGGGAAGGCCATGGAAACCATCAGCAGGTCCGGCAACCCGTGCGAGTTCGCGCTCAACCCCCCCAGCTTCTCGTGGACCTTCCGCAGGGTCCGCGGGTCCTGGTGCACCATCAAAGAATAGGGGCACATGCGCTCGATCATGGCCTCGAACGTGTTGTGGTCCACGGTTTTGGAAGTTACCAGGTCCTCGTCGGAGACGACCTCGATGGTCAGCCCGCTGTAGGGGATGTTGATGAGCAAACTGTAGAGCGTCGACCCCGTCTCGTGCTCCTGGTAGTAGCGCAGGTGGGAGATGCCCTCGCGCTCCACGCGGCGGATGAACGGCGTGAGCCACGGGCTGTACAAGGTCAGCGACGGCGCGGAGAAGACGTCCCAGCGCTCCTTCGACAGGTTCTCGTGCTCCTCGCTCCAGGCCTGGACCCAGCGGTTGCTGCTCTCGTGGCCCGGGTACATGAAGCTGTGGAAGAAGTGGAGCTGGAAGTTGTCGAGCGTCGTCAGCACCTCGCGCTTTGCGCACGTGCTCGTGCCGTCGCCCGAGGACCCGTTGACCGCGGGCCGGCTCACGAGCTGCGACGTGATGACGTTCATGCCCAGGATGTTCTGGAGGAACTCGCCGTCGTGGAACGGGTCCGTGCTGAAGTACGTCCGCTTGTACACGGAGACCAAACGCTCGACGTCGTGCGTCCGCCCGTAGAGCAGCGACTTCACGGCCATGGGCAGGTCCGCGCTCCGGCCGGAGAGCGCCCCGGCGGCGGCGACGGCGCAGGCCACGGCGCCCGCGACCCTGAGGGCGCCGTAGCGCCGGCTCGGCCCCGCCGCCCACCGCACCTCGCCGTCCTCGTCGACGGGACCGCCGATTAATCGTTGCGCACCGTCCATGGTGCCGCCGCCGGGACCGCGCCGGAGCCCGCCGAGACCCGGATCCCGCGGCCGAAGACCGGGGGAATGCCGCGCGACTCGACGACGCCCTGTGAAGCAGCCCCTGTCGTCGACTACACGCGTGGGCTAAAAAAGGCACGGAAGCCAGATTTGTATCCTGAAGGACGGCCGGTGCTTGTAGTCGTCGCCGTCGCGCCGCGCGTCGCTGTCCTTGCCCCGGCTCGGGGGCGGCCGCTGCCACGTCTCCATGTCGCCGAGGATCGCCGACAGCTGCGCGTCCATGCCCATGGCCGGCGCCGCCGTCTCGCCGCCGCGGCGGCCCGCGCCTCACGGTCGGGCTGCCGAAGCCCCAGCGCGCTCTCCGACTCCCACGTATCAAGTTTCGTCCCCCGCCCTCGCACGGCGAAGGTGAACAAACCGGCCGGTTGCAACAGACACATCCGCTCGTGCGGCGCCGCCTCGACGTTCCGCGCCGCTCCGCGCCCGCGCAATCATGGCTCAGCATAACGACGAGATCTACGAGTTCCAACAGCACCACCTCTACGGGAACAGCGAGCCCAACGAATACTGGCCGGTCGTAACAACGGTCGCGTGCCCCAACGGCCGATGGCGCGTGCGCTATGAGGACGGCTCCCACGGGGTCGTCGATCCGAACCGCCTCTGGCCCGCGCCCTACAAGAAGCGCAAGGCGGGCGAGCCGGTTTGGGTCCTCCTCGACGACATGTACTACGACGCGCGCGCGACGGGCGAGAGCTGCGACGACGGCCTCGTCGAGGTCGACATCGACGTCGCGGACTACTACTACCCGCCCGACGGCGCCGTCCAGCTCATCCCCGCGCACAACGTCTACAACTACTGCGCCGTCATCGACAACCCCGAGCTCTACAGCAAGTCGGGGCTGGAGAAGAAGGCGCACCCGAACTACCTCGAGTCGCGGGCCTACGAGTTCAACGAGCGCGCTTGCGCCAAGATTCTCAAATCCTGCGTCGGCGACGACGCCTACGACGGAAGCCAGCGGCAGAAGCAGGTCGCGGCGGCGCACGCGCGCAACCCTGCGCCGACGCTCGCGCGGGACGGCCCCGCGGTCTACTACCCGTGGCGCGCGCAGCTGTCGCCCCCCCGCTGCGTGGAGTGCGGTCGCGAAGGCGTGGAGACGCGCCTCTGCATGTGCGCCAACGAGGGCTCGGGCCTCGGGCTCCTGGGTCAGCTCGCGACGTCCGCCCTGAGAAAATTGTTCCCCGACGGGATCCTGCCCGGCGAGGCGGGGTACCCCGAGGTGGCGAACTGCGAGCTCCTCACCGGCGCCTCAACCGTCAAGTTCCTGATGGACGTGCTGCGCGCGATGACGGGCCTGGGCTCGTCGGAGCTCGACGCGATGCTCTCGAGGACCGTGACGATGCGGATTCGCAAGACCACGGTCATCGCGCGCGAGACGCACTTCGACCACATCGTCGCCCTGTCCCTCCGCTACGCGGGCGCCCAGCTCCGCGGCGACGCGGCCAAGCTCGCGGCGCCCTGGCGCCTCGACGAGGACCCGGCGTGGGTCGCCGGCGCGCCGAACGGCGCGACGCGCCGCGTCTCGCGCATGGAGGGCCTCCAGCTCCTCCTGCGCAAGGCGAACTTGGACAAGGGCACGACCATCTCGCGCGACATCGTGGACGACCTGCTCGACTACAACACCTGCTTCTACGCGCCGTCGGAGCTCGCGAAGCCCGACGTTCTCGACCGCACGTACCGCGCGGAGTCGGACATCCTCAAGCGCGTCACGGCCTGGGGCAAGAAGCGCCACCAGCGCCTCGGCGGCTGGTACGGCATCGGCGACCCGAACGCGCCGCGGCCGAGCGCGTAACCGCATCGCGTAACTTGCTGCAACTTGAAGCGAGGGTGCTGCCTCCCGAAGTCGGAAGCCGCTCGCCTTCGACTGCCCCGGTGGACGATGGCAGCCCTCGGCGCGTACAAGGTCAAGGGCAAGAAGGGCACGATCTGCCGCGCGGGCGTCGAGACGGACACGGCCGAGGTCTGCGTGCTCAAGAAGGACGCCCGGGTCGTGGCCGTCGCGGAGGCGCTCAACGCCAAGGGCGACGTGCGCCTGCGCCTCCAGCGGCCCGTGCGCGGCTGGGTGAGCCTGAAGACGCTCGTCAAGGTCGACGACGAGAGCCTAAACTTCCCGAAGGCGCGGACCGGCGGCGAAAACGTAAAACCCGCGGACTGGCCCATGGTCAACGTGCCCGGGGATCTCATCGAGACGTGCCAGAAGTGGCTCTGCCTCTTCAAGAGCCTCGACGAGTGCAAGTTCCAGGCGAAACCCCTGCCCCGCTGGTTCCTGCCGTCGCCGCCGGCGACGCAGCGGTCCTACTTCGACTCCATGGGCGCCCTGTCGCCGCCCGCGAACCCATCGGGCTTCAAGAAGCCGTTAATCGGCCCGCGCTGCGGCGACGCGCTGCCGCCGGCGGACTCCCTACCACCCTCGACGCCGGCGCGCTACCGCGCCGGCGCCGTCGTCTGCGGCGCCGGCGCGCCGGCGTGCTTCGTCGACGGCCTGATCGCCGACGACGACCCGGTCTACGCGTCGGTGTGGAAGGACCGGGGCCTCCCCGCGGCCGTCAAGTGCGTCTTCGACCCCTGGTCCGGCGCCATGCTGCCCGTCGCGTCGTCCTTCGTCAACGGCGCGGGCAAGGCGGCGGCGCGCGGCGTCGACCTGCGGCTCTTCTACGACGACGGCGCCGAGGCCGTGCAGGGCTGCCTCCGCTTCGGGCCGGGCGCGCAGGGCGGCCGCGACGCGTCGTTGATCGTCGACATGATCCACGGCGGCTGCATCGAGACGTGCCTCCACGAGTGCATGCTCGAGGCTTTGAAGCTCGGCGAGGACCCGGAGGCCGCCTCGTCGACTTCCGCGCGGAGATCAAGCTGCCGCACCGCCAGGACGAGACGTACCGCGTCGAGGCCGTCTGCCGGCTGCCGGAGAAGGGCGACGAGGACGACGACGACGACGACGACCTGGGCAAGGCCGTGCTCTTCAGCGACACGGGCATGAAGCAGCGTCCCGTGGCCGCGACGATTTTCGAGAGACTGTTGACCGGGAAGACGATGGAAAGTCGTCACCGTAATGCTTGGTAGGCATGAAGATCCACCCGAACGCGAAGGACGTCGACTTCTTCTGCTTCGGCTCCGCGTCGATCCTCGCGGCCGACGGCGTCACGAAGATGGCCGTGGCGAAATGCCGCGCTGTGCGCGGGTCCATGCTGCGCCACTACGCCGCGGCGGACTTCCGCTACGCGGCGCGCTTCGTCGTCGACGGCCCCGTGGCGTGCCCGACGTTCGCGACGGGTTTAGAAGACCTCCCTTCCCAACCGCCGCCGACCATGGTCGTCGCGGGGCCCCAGAAGGACCAGATCCCCGTGGACCCCAAAGTTTTCGTCGACTACCCCATGTCCGTCGGGCGCTACCAGGAGCGGGCCCTCGTCGCCGGCGACCCGCGGAAGACGTCGCTGTACCCGCCGGGCGACGAAAAGCTCGCGAAGTACGAGGCCGACGGTGCCTTCCAGCCCTGGCTCAAGCACTTGTACGACCCCTGGACGGGCGACATGCGCGCCATGCCCTTTGGGTGGACGTCCGGGCCCGAGGCCGCGTCGATGAGAGGCGTGGACCTGCGCTACTTCTACGACGAGTCCAAGCGCGAGCTCGTCGGGACGGTCCGCTTCTCCGAGAACGCGCTCGAGGCCGTCTTCGACGGGTCCAAGGGTCTGTACGCCGTCGACTGCGTCCACCCGGGGGCCCTCCACGCCGTCATGGACGAGACGACGGCCGAGCTCATGAAATTGGACGACGACGTCGACATGACGACGATCAAGCTCTCCCAAAAACTCGCGCCGCACCGCGCGGTCGTCGGCGAGACCTACGACGTCCGCGTCGCCTACAAGGTCTGCAAGGGCGGCGACTCGCTCGTGACGGAGTGCGTCGGCGGCATCTACGACGCGGACGGCTTCGCGCTCTGCGAGAACCACACGCGCATGGCGCGGCTCACGGCCTTCGCCAAGACCAAGGGCGTCGCCCGCACGGACAACTACCACTACATCTGGACCATCTAAAAATCACGCCATCGCTATCGCGCGCTCTGGAGCGTCAAGACGGCGACGCAGCCGCCGCAGAGGTGCCAGAGCGCGTGCCAGCGCGCGTACCGCGCAAAGTCGCCGGCCTTGCGCGCGGCCGTGCCGAGGCCGTAGCAGCCAAAGGTCGGCAGCGCCAGGGCGACGACGAAGAGCGGGCCGCGGTGGGCGAGCGCGAGGGCGACGACGTAGAGCGTGAGCGACGACGCGAGCGCCTTGTCGAACGCGTGGCTATACCCGAAGCGGCCGCTGTCGAGGTAGTCGGACCAGAAGCAGGCCCAGGCCTGCAGCAGCCACAGGACGAAGCGCGGCGACCCGTCGCGCAGGTCGAGCACCGCGGGAAACGCGTAGCAGACGGCCGAGACGCCGATGAGGTGCGAGCGCTGCGTGCCCCAGGGGCAGTTCGTCTGCGACGCCTTGTTGATTAGTGTCATGAGTTTGCCCATTATTGTTGGTCTTTTCAGCGGCTTCGTCGAGCCCGCGGCGTGCTCGAGCGTGCCCCAGGAGCGGCCGCTGCTGCGCATGCGTCGAGCGGTGCGACTGCGCGCAAGCAGCGCGGCGACGGCGCGGCTGGTGGCTCAAGCTTTTATTGCCACTGGCTCAACATCTGGTCAACCACAATTGTTGAGGCTCGCTAAAACCAACTCGACGGAACTGTCCGTCGACGCGCGGTGTCGCGCGTTGCGTGACCGCTGCAGCGCCGAAGGCGCAGCATTCTTCGAAGCGATGCGAAACGCGCTGCTCCTCACATGCATCGCCGCCGCCGCCGCCGACTTTTTGCTGGTGGGTACGCAGCGCACGGGCACGACGTGGGTCATGAGCGAGCTCGCGCGGAACCCCTGCGTCGTCACGGACGGCGAGCTCATGATCAACCGCCACGGCCACCGCTGGAACCTGAACGCGCGGCGGACGTGCGTGTCGCTGCTCTATGGCGCCGGCGGCGCCGCCGAGGGCCGCGCGCTCTGCTCGCGAAAGTTCCGCGACGCGCTGGACAAGAGGGCGGCGCACGCGGCGAAGGCGAATCGGACGGGCCTCGCGACGCACTACGGCTTCAAGTGGATGCAGAGCGTCGAGAAGGACTGGGCCTGGCTCGCGCCGCTCTGGAAGCGGCGGCACGTGAAGCTCGTCGTCCTCCGGCGGTCGGACCACGTGCGCACCGTGCTGTCGCGCGTGTCGAACCGCCAGGAGGGCGGCAAGCAAAAATCGGGCAGCGCGGCGCACCCGGACGCGGCGACGGCGAAGATTCTCGACGCGAAGGCCGTCGCGCTGAAGACGGCCAAGGGCGAGCTGCTCAAGCACCTCAAGCGCGTCGAGCAGTCCTACCGGGAGCTCGGCCAGTTCCACGAGAAGCTGAAGCGGGCCGGCATCCCGAGCCTCCTGACCTACTACGAGGCGCTGTCGAGCGCCGACGCCGGCCCGCGGGAATGGCGGAGGCTCGTCGCCTACGTCCTCGGCGACGACGCGGCGACGTGCGGGACGGGGACGAACGCGACGGAGCAGCGCACCTTCAAGATCCACAGCCGGCCCCTCGCGGCGCAGGTCGCGAACTACGCCGAGGTCGCGTCGAAGCTCGCGGGGACCCGGTTCGCGAAGTTCCTCGACGGGGGAACCTAGGACGTTCGCGGGGACTTGGGGGTGTTCCTGCCAGTGGCGGGGCTTCAGTCGTCGCCCTCGTTCGCGGGCGCGGCCTCCTTGGCGGGCGCCGCGTCGTCGTCGTCGTCGCTCTTCCGGGAGTCGTCGTCGTCGTCGCGCGG